TTGTGTACTCTCTGCTATTGCTTTGATGTTCAGCGGTGATGGAAAAAAGGGTTTAGGTTCCCGGCTGTGCGGGTGCCACTGCAAGTCGCTGCAGCTTTTTTGACTGACAGAAACAAATGAGTATCATGTTCATCTCTGAGTCTTTGAAGCGGGGTCAATGTCACCCCACTGTTTCCTCAAATCTATGTAATGGGAGTGGGAGAAATTGTCAGGCCTGCGTGAGCTTAATTTCACACACTTCATGAAAGTCAAGAGTAGGTTGTCATTCTTACTTAATCCATACAAGGCCCGAGGCAGTGTGGGTGGATTTGGTCCAGAACATCTCTGAAGTTGAACAGCAAACTATTACACTCTGCCTGCTGGCCAAACAGCCATAAAAGGGCTGAGGTGAAATGGGGTTACTCATCTGTAAAAAGTTGTCTTCCACTTCCAGGGGCTGGCTGCAAAAAGATATGTGAGAACAGCTGAAAGAGTTAGACCAGTCTTTGTTTTAACTCTACTCTAATGCGCCAGATGTTAAAAGCTGTAAATCTGTCTCTCTAAGACACACATATCCTTTAGTCCTAGCAACTACATCACCATGTGGAAATAACCTCAGGTCATAATGGCAACTGAAGTTACTCAAATTACTGTATGACAGTGGTCGGCAATAGGTGGCCCGCGGGCCAGAACTGGCCCCCCAGCAATAATATCTGGCCTGTGGCCAGATTGCTTTGATAGCAGGAAAAAAACAGTTACTCACATAATAACTTCCTCTTAAGTGGTTTTGCCTCCAAAATAACAGCGCAAGAATGTTTTTTACCGCAAAGCTTCATGTTGAGTTTCTTGAGGGCTTTTACTTTGAAAAGTTGTTTGTTTGTTTGACACACCTCTGAAAACCCAGTCAGTCAACGTGTGATTGGATTCCCCTGAGTTTCCAGGGAAATGAAAATAAGTGTCCACAGGTTTATGAATGCGGATCAAACGCTGGGACGTGCGCACACACTGCAGCACATGCTTTACTGTGAGCATGTGCTGCAGTGTCCTTATAATCAATTTGTTTAACAAGGGAGAAAAGAAAATGTCCACAGTACGTTGAGATCGATCATACAACCCTCTCAACAGGAGTCACTACCGACTGAGTGAGAGCCTAACCTTCAGAAAGACAAAAAACTTCTGCCTCGCACAACAGCTAGCGCCAATAAGTGCCAATACAGATTTTTCAATGAAAGAACACATTGGTCAAAAAATCTCAATAAACAATACTTTATTTGGATCACAGGCATGTGGTCATGCTAAACATGAGAATCTGTTATGACTTGTATGGTTACTGATTGTATGATTAGCCCATGTGTTGTAGGTTTTTTTATGACTGCACGTCCTGTTGTAGGTTACCTACTGACAAAGACAAAAATGACTTAATTGAAAAAATGAATTAATTTAAAGTCTATCTTTAGAAATGTATATGTGTACGGCGCCTGCTGGGATTTGAGGATGCCATTGAATCTCGAACTCGATAAAACGATTTTATTTCGTAAGCAATTAATTGTTGCCATGTGCTCATCAGTACTTATTACTTGTAAAGTGCAACTTGTGAATCTCAGTTCTTCCAGATGACAGTCTCAGTCCCCAGTTCAAGGATTTCATGTAATTTCTTGTTAGTGGGTCATTCAGTGCTGTGATTTAATTTAATCTGGCACTTCTTATTGATTTGGTAGTGCAGATAATCACTCAGGAGAGAGGGCTTTGTTTATTCATGCTTTTGCTATTTCTATTTTTTGTTTTCATACCCAAATCGTAGTGACAGGCTATCAGTCAGAGGAGCGGAGTTATCTCACACTGAGATGGCGCGTGGATAGGCCCGTTAATAAGGACATTAAACATCTCTGACTGGAGAGGGGTGACCTTTGTGCTATAAACATAAGCTATGTGTTTTCCTTAGCTGACCAAGATAGCGATGATGAAACACATCCTTCCCATTCCTATGCATATGAGCAAAACCAAAATAGAAAATGGCATTAACTGAACTAAACATTTTCAGAGCATTTGCATACACAGCAGCTGCTCTCCAATAAAGGGGATGTCTTTTGTCCTTGGCTGGAACAAAAAAAACCTATCCACAGGGGATTATTTGGGGTCGATGATCTCCTGGTACGAACAGTACATCTGTCTACAGCTGAATGCAATGCCATAATCTGTCAAACAGATAGATCCAATTAACTGATTTACCAAATTTATCCTGAGAGAAAAACAAACTGTGTAAAATATCACATGTCTGCTTTTGAATGCACAGAGCACACTGAATGCCTCAACACTAGCTCTGCAACAGTAAGTTTGTCTGTTGAACTGGAGGGAAAATAAAATATACATATACTAGTTGAAGAACAACAAAAGGGAAAATAGGCAGCCCAAGCGTGGCCATAGGGAAAAAGTATCTGTTGTAACTGTAACGACGGGTGAACCACCAACAAAGCCACAAACAACTCAGAAACAGCTTGTAGAAAAGAATAACGGTCTTTACTTGCCAAAACAAACAGGTTTGGTACTCAGGTATTCATTCAGAGACAGGCAAACAAACCTGGCAGGGAGATGGCAAAAACAAAGTCAGGAGAACAGAATGCTACACAAGGACACAAGGTACTAAGGCCTAGTCCACACGGACATATAACCGGAGTTTTTCCCTCCTTCGTTTAAAAAAAAAGCTCTGTCCACATGAAAACGCAAACACACACAATCGAGCGCTGTCAAGAGCATGCCAAAACACCTAGCGGCGATATGACCCTAACCGTAAAGCCACGTTGGCCAATCAGAGCCTAATAAAATTGTAAACAAAGCAGGCAGTGACAGACACACAACCTGACATCAAACACAGCGGATAACGACGCGCACTCTGAGTCAGAGGAACAGACAAACTAAATACACTAAAGGGGTGGGCATAACAAGGGACAGGTGAAGATAATCAGGGAGGGGCACACAGGTGGGAAACACACAAGAGCATGAAGTGTACTGATCTGAAACAAGAGGAGAGAGAAATTACAAAGTAAAACAGGAAACATAGAATGAATGAATGACAAGGAAAAACACAACCTAGTACGCAGTAATACCTGCTGCTGGTTTAAGTTCGGTGTGAGGGCATGGTATTAACACATCATTAGTACCTTAGCACCTCACAAGAAATGTTTTCAGCTATCTTTCCTTTAAAAAAGTTGTGTCTGAGGCTGTTTCCAGTTTCCCTATATAGAGTACAGGAGTGGAGCTAATTTTTGCATTGGCGCTCACACGGGACAGGCCTTCCTGTGCGTGCATTCTCATAGTAAGAAATTGCAATCTTCTCTTTTGTATATGTGATTATTTACTGTATTCCTTCCTCTATGTTCTGATCCCACTAACTGTAGTCATTTACTATTTCATTAAATAAAAGACATAAAAACTTCCAACTTGAGGTAATACTTCATACATATTCATCCTCTGCCCTGGATATATGCTGTAGAATATCCTTTAAAGAACGGAGCTGTGTGGTGCGAAGAAGGTAGAAGAAAACAGACAGTAGAGTATTCCTCTGTGGTTTGGAGCAGAGAGGAGCTTTACCCAAGTCTGTCACCTGTCAGTCGAGGGCTAGTCAGGCTGAGACAGTGACAGTTTGAGGTCAGAGTGCGTTTCCGCTCAGCTCAGTGACCAGGCGACTGGAGAGCTACAGCATGCCCAGAGGAACGGCTCATGAATGGCAGGTATCCTAAAAGTAGATATCCTCCCTCTAGATTCCTCTGACAGCACTCATACCCATACTGATATAATCTAACAGGCAAACGGTGCTGTGGAGAGCAAGCCCTCCAGCTACTCAGTGTATTTTCTACTTCCTGGGATTGGAGGAAAAGGGAAAAACTCACTCAATGTCCAAAATGGAAAGAATTGATTCATCCTCATGAAAAATGTTGTATGTAGGATCAAGACAGAGAGCATTTGTCCCCTGGGGGTCCTTAATACCGTAAGCAGATTTTATGGAAAGCAGATTTTATGGAAATTAAGTTTCCTGAGAAGGTAACTTAACTTATTAACAAACTGTCAAATAGACGACTAGATGGATAGACAGATTGACTAAGAAACTTACCACATAATGCCACAATTCCATATATGCACAGAAGCTGCCTAGTTGTTAAAGTCATTGCACAATCCTGGAAAAGGTTGGTTTGAGTCCTGCAAAACCCGCATGGATATAGACTTGAATTGTAAAGTTTACCACGAGGGTGGCGCTTAAAGAAAAGCCAAGGAGTCATTAAAATCAAAAGCGTTCATCCCTTGGGAACCATGAATGGGCTCAGCTAACGTCACAAAAATCTCAACAGTTATATTATTGCATGCCTTTGAACTTGCCAACTGGATGCTTTTATGGGTTCTCCCTCTGTCTGCGTGAAAGTGCAAGGTTGTTGGTACAGGTATAGATAATGGAAGGATGCATAGAAGTGAGGGTCAAGTCAACTTTATTTATACAGCCCAATATCATAAACCACAAATTAGCCTGAAGGGCCTTTAAGATCTGTCCAGCATATGATTTGAGGTTGAGGTGAGGTTTGAAATTAGTCATCGTGCTGCTTAAAGGTCAGTTTTGAATTGATTATGGCGCCATACAGAAGGTCAGGGAAAGATAAAAACAGTTAGCAACTATCCTCTTTGAGCTATGACTTTTACCATGACACTATACATTTTACAGCTATCTGGTCAGAAGTAGCTGAAATATTTTGCTCTGGAACAAAGTGGTGGACAGATGAATGGACAAATGCAGTTTCACATAATAACAGCGTCATCGATTATTAGGTCAACACCAGGAGAGTAGTGAAAATTAAATGATACACCTTAGTAAAAATCAGATGAAATGAAGGCGTTAGCCTATAAAAAGGTCTGTTGCAATATAATCACTTCTCAGAGAGAGAGAGAGAGAGAAATGAAACATACCTCGCTTAAAGCATGTCCATATACAAATAAAATGGCATCTTGTCAGGTGAAGAGAAAAGAATGTAACTTACGGAGAGAGTGCCACTCATCCTGCCTTATTGTCTTGGTGATGTTGTAGGACAGGTTTTTGGGTATCATAGCCGAGGAGTAGTGATACTTGATGTAGGAGCACCTTGCAATGGAACCTGCAGAGAAAATAAAACAGAGGATTCCTTTTTTAATACAGAAACAAATCTGACTCATAGGTCATTACATAAGATCCACGCTGATGACACACAGAGTAAGGCTGAATGGAGAGTTAAGATAACATTGTTCCACAGTGTCATGATTCAGCCGGAGAGACTTTGTCTGCGGTTATTAATTAAATACGCAAGACACTGGCAAATCACTCTTCTTCTAAAACAACAGCAACGGGCTGTCGTTTTAGACCCTATTGTGTCAATTCTGATGAGCACTTTCAACATATATTTATATTACCTACAACTCTGACACAATGGCTGTCAGGGAAATGGTGTGTTCTTCAGAAGCTATTAACTAATCAGTCCAAAGAGATTCAGTCAGTGTATAATTATTCATGAGAGTCTCCTGGTCTGATGATGTGTTTGCGATTTCTAGATGAAATGTTTTACTGACAATTTAGACCTCTTGTGTTAACAATTTCCTAACACAGAACCTCTGTGTCAATAATGACTCCTCTCTCAGAAGAAAATGTTTCGTGACCAAGCGGCAACCTCCAATGCTGAAAAATGAAGCCTACATAGAAGAGCCAAAAAACAAGGCAAAGCAAGTCAATCCCCATAGACCGCTATGTTAAAATGCCCTCACTTTACAGCAGAAATAAACATGTTTACAGCCTGGTACAAAGAACAGTAATTTCCCCATTCGTGAGAATTCTACGGGGGTGACCTTTTACATAACTCACCCATTTAAATTATGTTAAGGCTTAAAGTAGTTAGCCATTTAGGATTAGCCGTAGGCACTACCGAGATGGTGAGCCATCACACTGAACTTCATAATCACTCTTCAGAAACCTGGGGAAATGGGTGACATCACAGAGACTACGTCCATGTTTTTTACAGTCTATGCCATGACATTGTTAAACCTCTGTAAACCTCATAAGGAGAAGATGAGGATGGATGAACTTTGACACTGGAGACCACTGTTTGTACTCTGTCTCCTACCAACAGTCAAATCAAGCAACTACAAGTTCCCCCAACCTTAACCTTAGTTTCCTTTATCAACCCTAGTGGCAGATCAGAAAATGCTTGTATAAATCATTTTTGCAACGGTAATATCAGTCTGGGAAGGCACTGACAAATAATGTTACCGATCAGTCTACAGCCTCTCTAGCAGCTCTGTGAGGCTGCATTTGGGCACAGCAGTGTTTTGAGGTTATGTGAGCATGCTAATTTTTAGCATGTAATGTTTAACATGTTCACCATCTTAGATTAGTGTGTTAACTCAGCACTGAACACAAGGACAAGCTGAGGCCGATGGGAATGCTCTTCCCTTTGCAGGTATTTGGACATAAACAAAAGTATTGGACAAATTAAGATTTTGAGCAGATGTTGACGCTAATTGAAAAGTCAGAGGATCACCAAAATTCATTCTAAGGGGAATACGAATGGAAGCAGGAGTGGAGTCGCTGTGCGTTACAACAAAGCTTTGGGCCAAATATGGACAAGGGAGCGCTTGAGATATAAATCAGGATCCCGAAAAAAGAAAGAGGAAAACACAGTCAAAGTCAGCAGGGTGAAACCGATGTCTGAGCACAGAGTACCTTCTCAGTAAAAGGGAACACAACAGCCCTGCCAAGCTGTAGGTATATATTTCAGAAATATTGAACCATCAACCTATTTTATTGTTTTCCAACTGTGTGTGTCACATGACTGCTTTAGACTACTTTAATTAACCCAACATGGATAATAATAATAATAATAATAATAAAAATAACCTTGGATTTGTTTGGGTAATCATTACATCCCTAGTTGTGAATATTTTGGGTTGGGTGCATCAAGATAAACAGTTGGTGGTGCTAAATCTCCAGCTGGGCTCTACTAAACCATTGCAGAAGAGGACAACGAGATGATGTAATAAAAGAGCTCCAGTCAAACCTGGAATGACAATGTGGAAACATGACGGAAATATTTTTGTTTCATGTGCAGTATGTTTGCACTTTTTTTTTGTATGCACTTTTTGCTTTTATCCATAACCAAACTTTTCAACTACAACATCCTTTTTTTTGATACTTGCACTTCATGTCAAATTTCTACTGTCAACTGGCTGATAATGGCAACACAAATAAAAATACAGTAATATTTACGTTATCCCTAACTATTCTAGTTTACTGTTTTTATAACTTGCGTCTAGAATGCGTCTCTGCCTGACACTGCAGGCCCTACACCAGTATGTCACAATGTGAGAATGGTGACTGTAATACTGTATGTTCACACCCAACACTGTACTTTTCTGGAGAGAAATAGCTGATTCCTTGTGAGACCATTTCTGCATGTCTGCACTAATTATTTCTGGCAATATTTGACACATTACTAAGTCTCCAGATGCATTACTGAAAATTTTGGAGTCCTGGGAGATTTGAACTGCACAAATAGAGACAACCAAGGTAACACTCCCCCTGCCTGCCTCTGTCCTGCAACCATGCACATGCACACGCACACGCACACACACACACACACACTGGCATAAACTAGTGAACCCAGGAGACCACAACCGCTGACAATGATAATTACCCATTCAGGACAATCTCTTTATCTGTGGTGCAGTTGGCAACCAATTGACCCAGACAGACTAGATAAATGTGTTTGATGAAACATTATAGTGCACAAGCTGGTACAGTATACAGTACATTCTAAAATATGACTACTACTATTATTTTATTTATATTTATATCCTTTACTTATGTGAAAGTAGTAACACCAGAATGTAAAAGTCCTCAAATGTTTCCTCAAAAGTACTATCAAGTATTGTGTATAAGCGCCCATGCAGAGTATAATATTGTTATTATATATTAGATCATTACAGATGCAATTAGCTTCATCTGGACAGATATAGAGGCTACAATCCCAATCCTTCAATCAAATATGGATTTATAACACCTGCACCTTAATCACGGCAGGTGGGAAATCCAAACTCTGGGGTTCAAAATATCACTTGTGAAACATGTGGGTGACATCATCACTGTTACAACAGTTGGTTCCTATGCCCATACTTGGACATAACCAGAATAGGACCTTAACTGACTAACAGTCAGGTAAATCTGGTCTGTAAATGTCGTTCCATTCATATTTCCACAAAGGTGTTCAGGAGTAAAATACAACAATGTCCTACCCTTATACGCTTGTCCCTAGTGTCTGGCATTATAGCGCAACACTGATTAATCAATGATGTTCATTGGATTACTCATGACCCAGCGAAGGCTTGCTTCAATACATCTAATGTTACCTCAGAGCTGCTTCCCCTGTGTAGTGTTTAAAGATCCTGACCAAATCTGTGCAATGCGGCTGGCTTTAAATCACAGACTTCTGCTGATGTAGCGCATTAACAGAAAGATGGCTAGCAGGGATCTGTCTTGTGCAGTAGAGTCATGGAGGAGCTGATATGGATTTTCCTGATGTTTAAGGAAGCCTCTAAGACCTGGAGGGATTCCAAATAGGCTAATAAAACTGATAACCTGGACGAGAGGCTCATCAGAGCAATCTGGCAATGGGCTTCTATTACTCAGTGTTCATGAACGCAGCTCACCACTCCACACTGCTTACATATAGACAGATACTAGATCAAGGAAGCCACTTGAGGAGACAATGTGCAGTGAAATGTATTCGCACTGACATTGTAGCGTTTTCTGCAATGTGGACAGAAAATGCAGCGCTGACGGTCAAGAATGGGCTGTATCATGTAATTGGTGCTCGTTCACATGAATATATCACTCTGCTGTCTGCCATGCACCCGTCCTATTATATTGGTTGGACTGGATGTGTTGTTGAAGATGTAATTGAGTTTAAAGAGTGGGAACTGGAGAATGACGGCCCTGTCCTGACAAGTGGCCCGAGTCCATTAAGTCAAGAGATTTTGAGCAGATGAAAGCAGAAAACAACCATTTTCCTCCTTAGTGGTACAAAAAGAGGAACTGTGGCACATCTCTCATCCTCCAATAGAAAAATTGGAAAGTGTTTGGCCCTCATGCAGGGGACCTCTGGTTTTTAAAACTCTAAGGCCTAGGAATCCCCATCAGTAGTGCTCCTCATAGAAGTTTTTATATCTTTTTCATGGCTTTTTCCGACCATTTTCTACAAATGCCAAATTGGCTTAAATGCATTTCTCCATCAAGTTGTCATATCTAAATAACAAAGTAGGTTGTTTGCCTCCCAAAAGAGCCTCTGATCTCTGATGTTTTGGTTCAGTTCACTACAGCTACTTAGTTAAGGCCAAAGGAAATGAAAGATTGCCTTTATGTGTCACAACACACCCAGGCTGTTTATTCACCTGTATACTTACTGGATTGTCATTTCAGACCCTGCCATTTCCTCCTGACCTACAATAACACCTGTTCCTTATATTCCCATCACCCGAGTACTCCACCAACCTGCTCACCTCGTGCCACTTCCCTCATTGCCCATTCAGTATTGCTATACTGGCCCATTTCCACCTATCCTCTGCCAGATAGTCAGTGTTGTTTGGTGCTGTTGTTTTCCAGCTTCTGAAACCTGTACCCTTTATCCTGTTACCTGAGACCTGAACCTGTTTCTGTACCGGCCTACCTGCCTGCTCCTATTTACCGTCTCATTCTTGTTCACTGTGGTCTGGAATTCTATACTATGCTATAACAGTGCAAACAATAAAAAGGATGGTTTTGCCATTCCTTTTCATTATGGGCCTAAAATTGTGTAGTTTGATAGGAGAATAAAACAGTTTGTAGAATCGCAAAAGGCTTTCTCCTCTGGGGAGCATGAAAAATGCACCAAATGTCACAAGATAATTATGCAGTATGTTGTGTGCAATAATATTTTTTGTGTAAGGCTGGTGGTACAGGTGGTACAGGTGATACAGGATCACAAATAATGACTATCCACAGCAATATGCACAGGAATGACTTTTTCTGAGACCGAGGAGGAGGGCTGAAAAATATTAGGTAACAAAATCCAAATCCAATTAGGTGCTTATAAGT